CTTAAACTTCATGTCAATTTTATAAACTTATATACGATTAGTTTCAACTTTCGACATTATTAAATAAACCACGAGCCATGTGAGAAAATAGAATATTTTTGTTGGCAAATAGTTCAATGACTGACAGAATATCATAGACATGACAAGTCCTCTAGTGCGTTCTTAAAAATGCAGCTCATGAAGCTCACGAAAATATGTGATAGATGTACAATATACCTTTTAAATGTAATCTTTATCATAATGACAAGTTAACTGCTTAACTGATATAAATATTTTTATTAGATTTTTTTTATAATTTTTTAGAAATGTACATTTGAAAATATTTTATATCAAACTTCGTTATAGTTTTGTAGTAGGAATCCTGCTTAGTGGAGGGTGTAGAAAGCATCCATTATTCTGTAGGCCCATTTAACATGCGCTGAGACGCGTGTATAGATCGAAGGCTTGTTACCAACACCGCATGGAATGTAACCCCATGAAACGATACCAATGATTTCAGAAGGAGCGCCTTTGGTTTCCTGTACCAATGGACCACCAGAGTCACCATTGCAAGCGGAAATACCCATTTCCTTGGAGCTAGTACAGACATTGGTTTCGTGCAATGGTGCATTTTCGGGCAAAACTTCTTTGCATTCATTCCATTCAATTATTGATGTTTCTACAGTTTGTAGGGTCTTGGCTGGTGTCAGAACATAAGCCTTGGGTTGTCCCCAGCCATAAAGATGGGTCTCACCTTCTGGAATGTCATCAACATTTGGTAAAGTAGCATGTTGAACAAATTCATTGAATTCAAAAGGTTCAGAAACGTGCAAAATGGCAATATCATATGGGCCAACTCCGCCAGTGTAGTCTGGATGTTTCATACCAAAATCGATTTCACGTGCTTGCGTTGTATCACCCAAATCATTTTGCTTATGTAAACCAGCAACAGCACCCATACCTTCTGCCTTACTGATGCAATGAGCAGCGGTAATGATCCATTCTTTATTGATAATAGTACCGCCGCAGATGTGAGAATGCTTAGTTGATTTGGAGCTCAAGGAAACAATGTATGGTGCAATATGAGGTTCAGCATCCTCACCTTTAATGATATAACCAGTAGCAAGGCTTGGAACAAACTTGTCAACTACTTCCGAAATCACGGATGCATTGGCACAAGCCACCAATAAAGCGACGAAAACTAAGACCTTCATTGAGAACTGTTCGCACTAAACAACAAAACCAAACTATGGTGAACTTGTGCTGCAAAGGTCTTTATATAGTTAAGAGCTGAAAAGTTCAATTTTTGGCCGATTAACTTTATTATCGATTTAAATTAAGCAAATTTCAATGCTATTTGGTTTTAATTCCGATAATGAATCAAAAAAAGATTTCGTCAGATTATAAGTTATATTGCATTACGGACTGCAGATACGCACGCTAGGTTCAATAAAAATTTCTGATTAGCTTTTTATACAAATTTAAGTTTTATGATTTAAAGTCTTCTGGATTACTAAAGGTGTTTGTTTTGGATTTGCGTTGAGTTCTAGAATTGATAACAAATTATTTCTAATTTATGGGCCCTCACGCCCTTATCTGTTTTCGTATTGATAGTGAAGTTAGCGGAAATTAGATTATCTGTGACAAAATTTATTTCAGAGTCGAATTACAATAATTTTTACCAAAATTAATCTTTATGATTGATAGATTACCGAGATAAGTGAATAGCGATGCGGTTTTATTTATGATGCTGCACTGAGACACAAGTGTTAGATACGTTAGTCATGACTGCACAGATTTTGAGGGCCTAGGTAGCAGAGTCCATTATCGGATTTTAGTGCAAGAAAAGCGCGTAAGAAATGCCTATCTAGTTTCGATAGACGGAAATGAATTCAAAAGCAAAAATAAATACATTTTTTTTTAAATATTTATATGATTTATATTAATGACTTTAATCTAAATATAAACAAGTGTAATACTAGTTACAGTAATTCATATGTTTTAATAAATAAATTTCGTCTATTAATCAAATAACTTTTTAACTATTCAAATTTTCAAAGTGATTAGTTTTATATATTCCTGACTGTTTTTATGGACATAACGCAGATCCTTTTTAAAGCCTAATTACTATAATAGAAGAAAAGACATTTTAAGAACAAACTCCAGGGTAACGCAACGCAACGTACCCATATACGATTAACATGGATTTTGTCAACTTCAAACCTCGCATAACTATTATACAACTTAAAGTGTATTATTTCTGGACAGACCGATTTGATAACGATGAATTTAAGTGAAGTCGCCTAATTTGGGCACATTTCTCACTAATCTATATGCCGATATAACGAAGTTATGAAGTTATGGATTTAACTTGGAAAGAAACTGTTAACTTTTTACATTTATTACACTTTGAAGAACTACACACACCATTTAAACACACAATATATAATATAAAATATATAATATACAATATAATATATAATGTATACCATGTTTAGAGTAATAGCATGAACAACTAATAGATGGCGTGTATAATTGCCTTTGGTGAATAGTAAGTAGAAACTTCAAACTGTAAACCTCGATATCCAGAGAACTTAATCATATCAGAATAATAGGTAGTAAAAAAAGTTGCTTAGAATAGGAGTTGTCAAATACTTAAAAACATAACTTTGCACTAACTAGTTAGTTAGTTAGACTAAAAGCGTGAATGTTATTGATTTTAAGACTTTTTATAATAACAAAGATTTTGTAATAAAACAATGATTTAACGTAACTTCAAAAAAACCATATGAATACAGTTATATTACATGGTCTTAGGCACTAACATTACTAACTCACATTGGTATATAGTCATTGAAAATTTCTCTCTATAATAATGGTTTATGTCACGAGATTTATGATATATTTCAACATTTTGTTAAAATAATATATCGCCAAAGTCAAAATGATTAAACAGAAGAAACTATCATCATAATTCTTTAGTATTCTCCATTCACCAACCATTTTAATGGTAAATAGCATTTTAATTTTCAAAACGAAATGATCCCATTATTCCAGACCAAGAAATTGTTAATTTTGAATTCATAATTTATGAACTGCTTAGTGGTAGGTTCTCTTCACTGGAAATGTACCTATATAGTCTGATTTAAATGAACTGATTTTTCGATGAAATAATGGAATTGTACAAGTTTCTCAAATAGACGGTATACAAAACTTCTATGCAATAAATGGTTATTCGGTTCAAGTTTATTTATTTATTTAAATTATTGTATATAACAATTTTCATATTTTAGGACCGCAAGGCTTTTACATAAGTTCTTCAATTTCTTCGTATTGAATCTTTCTTTTTTCATATTATGCTATCAACCACGTTATCTGTAGCTTTGTAGATTCTATATTAACGCTGCTTGTGGTATGACCCCATATGGGTTTTGAAGTTTGGTACTAATACTGCTGCATTTGCACCTTCTTATGTTTGTTTTGGTCTTACAGCTTTTCATTGCATATATATATTAATTTACAAAAATTTTCATGAAACATTTCATAACTAACCTACAATGGCTTTTTAGGACTAATTAAGTAAGTAAATTTTCATATTGGTTGAAAGAGTTTAAAAATATGAAGTTTAATAGGATTCGCACGCAAGTTAATATCAGTGTACAGGAGGGTCACTGTCAGTTAGAAAACTGTAAGAGGAGATCTATTAGTACTTCTAATGATAATTTATGCAGTGCACTATTATGCTTCGCATCTGCTTTTTCAGTAATCAACATTGTACTTGCGCTACTGGTTTTCCTTCTAAAGGACCTTAGTCAACTACAACTCATTTTCTTAAACTTCATTCTCTTAAACTTCATTAATAATTGCAAACATATAATATAATACTTTTATAAAGCTACATAATGAGGCTAGAGATCTAAATATTATTTTTTAATATAATCTAATCTAATTTGCTATTACTTATTAATTTTAAATATACCTCCAATATAATTTGTTTTTTTTTTTTGTGAACAGACAATTTTAATTTAACCCTTTAAACCCTTTACTTAATTTATTTATATAAAATCTCTACTGATTTTAAAGCATGTGCATATATACATTACATTGAAATACGTAAGTTAAACGGAATTTGTAAGAGTAGAGTAGAAACGCTCTCCAATCGTTTTCATCGAGCCTCGTGCCTGGTGCCAAAGTTAATGCGACTTACCTATTATCGGGTAAATGGAAAATGTTTTCGAAGTTGATTTAGAACCGTGGGCACGCAAACATTTTAGTGGTAGACCATGGACGTTCTAACTAGACTCGGCACCGGTCTCGGTCTTATAAAGCTCGTGTGAACCAAGCATCGTTAGAAAGTCATCTTCCGAAGTTCATTTCGTTCACACAATGGTTTTCGAATTCGCCAGAATTCCATCTAGGTCATTTTAGAGAGCAACGTGAGGACTAAAAAATATGCCAGTATAGATGCGTTAAAAAAATCAATTATTCAGAAATGAGCTAAAATATCGGAAGATCACATTCGTGAAGCGTGCATTTCATTTTTGAAAAAAATATAGTTAAGGCAAAAAATAGCCACATCAAGCTAAAGTCAATGAATTCTGAAATCTTATTATATCCAGAAATTTTTGTAATTTGAATTAATAAAAAATAAATTTCAGGCAAAAAACACATAGTCGTTTGAATAGGTAACACTTCAATCGCCTAACCCTGAAGAATACCATAAACGAATGACATTATTGTACCATCGGTGAAATAAGTCTCCTATAGAAATACTAAACACCCTGACTTTGCCCTGATCGCAGAATATGGATGCACTGAACATTTCAGATTCTGCAGATGTTAGCGTGTTTTAATCCCACTTTTGAAATGTGGAAGTTCATTAAAAAAATCTCTTTAAAACCCAAAGTGACTTATTTAAAAGTAATGACAATTATTGTGAATGACAATATATGCGTTGGTCCTATACTGACCTTCTAATGTATGTACAAACCAACACTATTCCTTTAGTGCTACAACGGACCATTACTTGAGCTCAAGTGGGATTTCTAGGTATACAAGGTCGCCACTTAAACCTAACCTAACCTATTATGAATGACACTTTGCTTTTTCTTTACAAAAACAAAAACGAAATGAAGTTGTAAAACTTATATCAGTGTTAATAGATCACTAATCTTTATCAAAAAAAGAGAGGACATATCGTTATGACTAGATTTTTGAAACCTATTTGTGTAATAGTGACATCTCAAAAATAAAACTGTAAAGAATCTAATCCCTTTATGAGTGGCTTAGGTTTATTTTAAAAGTTTTTCTTGTCTAGTGATATATGCCACTTGAAGAGAAGAAAACAACTGTCGTCAAAAACTCTAGTAATCAATCTATAATAAAATTAGAAGGATGTCACGACAGTTTTTACTTTTAATATAGATTCAGTTGATAGTAAAGTTAATTTATGATCACACTTATTTATTAGAAGATGTAAGATAGTTATTGAAGAAGTTCTGTGTACAGAAAGAAGGTTTTCAGTAAGCCTAGCACTTTACTACTTACTTACTAAACGGACCATAACAAAGCATTACCGATTAATACTGCCGGGAAGAATTCTATTCAATGCTTCCAGTTAGTACTTCCTCCAGATGACAACTCCACAGAACATTTCGTCACTGGAGGTATCTTCATCTTATTTTATTAACCAATATGTTTATTAGACTTATTCCGCTAATGGATCATCTCCAATCCTCACAACATGATCAAGCAAGTTAACCTACCAGATATTAATTTTTAAAATAATAACAATGTGGTGGCTAAACCAGTACTGAATAGAATGAATAAATGAAGAACACCTTTTCTTATTATCGTTTTGAATCAGAGAATGTGTATTAATATTGGTTATTACAAAAATTGGATAGTTCTGTTCCTATTTGCTTAATTTCGCTTCAAGCTGCACTAGTACCCGAGCTTTTCCCACTTTTTTGTATTAACATTTTTGCAATTAAGAATATTATCACTGAATCTATTTTTCCTTTATTCAAATTATTGCTAGAATGAGAATATATGATTCTTCCAGAAAAAGCATTATATATTTCAGTAATAATTGTCGAGTACTTTTCCCGTTTCTAATCAGCAGAAATGGCACATTCTCAATATTCACTAAATAGAATTGTTCCTCCACACTTGGTCCAGTTTGCTTATTGGGTTGTTAAATTTTTAGTTAACCGACAACATGACAGACAGACGGACAACTGTACGTATTTTAAATTATAATTTTCTACAATAATTTTTAGTACTAATTGAAGTACGAATATATTTCTAAAATACATTTTAATGTAACTCCTCTTTGGTATGTTATAATGACTCTTTGGATTAACGACTTATTCATTTAAGATAATAATATAAATTTTTAACATAAAATCATCACAGTATAATAAGTACAAAAGCTTAATCGAAAACACCCACAAACGACAAACTTCAATTAAGCCAAGTGTTTTCATTTAGGTGTTTTACAAATGGTTTAAAAAAAAGCATTAAGTCTATTCCATGGGTTTAGAAGTCTAGAATACATTTAATGTGGAGATTACTTAAGAGTGTCTGACAGTGTTTGTCATTTATCACCTATCGGAACAAATCAGAACAAAAATACTCGGCCAAAGAACAAATACTCTATTTAGTATAAGAAGGCGTAGTACCAATCTGTATAAGTCTATCACTACTGGTTATTCTTTCATAAGTATGAACATAACTGGAACACACACCCACGGTATAGACTTCTGCAAAACCGGTTAGAAATTTGGCGTAAAAGGAACAATTGAACTTTTATTGTACCACCGTCTGGCTCCTGCAGAATAAAAGCCTAAGTTCTTCAGAGATACTTATATCCAAAAATTGGCAGAGCAGAGAATAGTTGACTTAAAAAGACTTATAATATATGTTACTTAAACAGTGGATTGATTTGAAGCAATTGAGGTGTTAAAGTATATTTGGCAACAAACCACAGACCTATGTGAGTGACAATAATTATATTCTGAACTGACATTATAATTAAATAAAAGAATATGGAGTCATAATAGCTTTAATTTTCTTACATTGAATTATCAATGACAGTTGCATTTCAATAACAGTAATGAATAATATTGAATTGTTAATGACATATATCCAAAAATCTGGTTTCGGCATTACATACATACGAGTACTAATATATAGCTTCATATAAATAAAGTATATATATGCAGTGAAGATATTTAACAAAGTTTCCGAAGTCTATTAAACATAGTCAGCAATTTATTTTGATATTCTATCATTAGTTAATAGAAATTGCATGGCTTCTTTTTGTGGGATTGATCAGTGAAATTTATTATAGGTTCGACTTTTTTTAAAAAATAAAAAGTTGGTAGCAGTTGATCTTTCAATAACAATATTTATTTTTTTTAATAACGACTTTTATATAATTTATGATATATCAGTATCTTACAAAAAGCTATTTAAGTTGTTTAGTATTAAAGAACTTTCTTCAACGCGGTATGCATAGAGATTTAGCTTCGTCCGATTTCGAGGTATCTGTAACGCAAAATAATAATAAATTAATTCTATAAAATTCCAATGTCTTATCGTTATATATGAATTTTATCTGTGGTGCTGGTTGATAACATGGAGAGCATAATAAGTAGTAAGTAAAGCCACTAACCATTTATAAAAAAAGCTTAAAAAAGCACTACTCTTCTAAAGAAACCACAGACCGTAATACTGCGGTATTTAGTCATTATAATATTATGGATTTGGAGTACAATATTTCATAACGGTTTTTACTGCTTCCACAAAAGCTTCAAAGCTTTAACGAGATGTTTTTTCAAAATGTGTCTTTCATTATGTTGACAAGAACCGTTTTTTATATACATTAGAAGCTGATTTGATATTGACTCAATATTCATTTGATATTGATTTCATATTCATTCGCTGTTGATTCAATATTCATTTGATTTTAATTTGATATGAAGAATAAGTTTTATGAACCAATCGATAATAGTAATGTATGCTGAATAAAACTCTACTTACACGACGTTGGCGTCCATCTCGAGAGTCATCACCACCTATAAAAAGAATTTCATATTATTAATTAATCTTTTTAAATAACTTCAGTTTATAATACTTACCCCTGCGCGGCATTTCACTAAGTAATTTCTTCAAATGATTTTTATAAATATTGAACATGAACTTTTATCAACATCCCACATCCAGAGATGTAGGAAATTTTCAGAGAACTGAAGAAAGGTGGATAATGCAAATGATGGAAAACAAATAGAAGGAGCAACAATCTCTTTTTTGTGATTGATACTATAACTTGCCCATACATATTTCAGATAACATGTAATGACTAATTTATTACGAATATACTTCAGTAGGAATTATAACAGATAAAAAATTTTAAAAATCTTGATTTCGCTTTGATTTTCTTATTACTGACTGTTATGGGATCTACTGTAATTTTAGAATCAACGAATTGTGAACAATTCTTGAAAAATTCCATTGTATCATAATCTGAGTTCAGTTTACAAATACTTTTAAAAAAATCTAGTAACCAGAGAAGTGTAGAAAAATTTATCTGAATATTATTTTACCAAATTGAATAACAAAAGTTTTCATTTTTAAAAATCTTATCACGAGTTTTTTATATTTTAAAAAAGATATTACTTCTAAAGGTCCGGTCGGGAATTGACACATATATTTTATAAAAATCATTTGAAGAAATTACTTAGTGAAATGCCGCGCAGGGGTGAGTTTTATAAACTGAAGTCATTTAAAAAGGTAAATTAAAAAATGAAATTCTTTTTATAGGTGGTGATGACTCTCAAGATGGACGCCAACGTCGTGTAAGTAGAATTTTATTCAGCATACATTACTATTATCGCTTGGTTCATTAAACTTATTCTTCTCTTAAACAGGGTCAGGAATACGTTGAAAGTGAGGTTATCGAGTTGGAGCCCGCGGTCGGTCCGTATGAGGATTTTATCACCATTCACTGGAGAATGATTCTAGCAGTCTTACTTCTTCTCATTATTATAATTATTTTTTAGATGGATCGATTTGTGGCAAATTGTATTATATATTTGGAAGGAAAATAAAAATATACTAGCATAGCATTTTTTCATTCTCTTTTTATAAAATACAAGATAAGAGCTAATTCTTAAATAATATTTTTAGATGTCATGTCATAATTAGTTTCACTTAATTTGAAAGATTTGAAAGACTTTATAGAGTACTTAGTATATTGTAACTACTCTGTATTTAAATAGGACTCTCCTGATATTATAGTTATTCTTTTAAAAATAATGAAAGATTCGCTCTAACAGTTCGAAGCAAAAAGGTCACAAGGATGGGTCTTACAGAAGGTGCATGTACTCGTACGTTCAATAAAGAGTGTGTAGTGCATCCAGTACATATTGTGTTTTGTAGTTAGTATTTTAAATGAACTGTACTTTCACTAACTTATATGAATAAAAAACATATATTTTAAATACTGTGAATTATTCTCACTAGATGTATGTTCGAGTAAGTCTTACCCTTTGCTTTCATTTCCATAATTTTAACACTAGGAATCAGAGAATAATCCAAAAATAATACAAGAATGTTTAACTCTTTCTTCAACGTAATAATATTTAGTCTGATTGACTGTGGAGAACTGAATATTTATTTCGCATGCAAAGTACTTTTCTAAATAGATAGTTCTTTTAGATTTTCGGAGTTCCTGCATTTAACTGTACTGGATTTAATTACAAAGTTAGAATGTTAACATCGTGATAATATGTAAGAACATGTAACTATCTTTAGAAACCACTAACGTTCCATGACAGGTAACTTCAACTTAAAAAATGTACTTACCGGATTTAGGAACGATGAAGATGTTGCATCTTCTTTCGTTAAAACTGTTTTGCATGTTACAAATGTCAAGCTTAAATAAGTTGGCTTAAATCTTAAAGATTCTCAATAGTTTCAGTTAAACTTCTACTTTAATTTTTATATAGAGTTGCTTCAGGTAGAGTTAGAGATTAGAGTTAGAGGTAGAGTAGAGATTACATTCGAGATGAATGTTATCAGGCGTTCTGTTATAAGATCTGATTTATGGAAAATGTGTGTAGTGGTTGAGGAAACCTTCATCGTAGATTGAAGAAAATTAATTCCGGCGCTTGAGACAATTGGCCATATGTTTCGTGGATTGATTGGCATATAGCCTCTGTTTCGTTGTACGAGTTTCTTCCATGTTCATAATTGATTAGAAGTGCTTTCCTCGAAGTGACAATTTTAGCGTCGGGACAAAATAGAATCTGCAAAAAGTCATATCATGTGAGATGACAAAGAGATCAAGATTCAGTTATTTAGGAATTGT